GGAGAGAGAGAGAGAGAGAGAGAGAAAGAGAGAGAGAGAGAGAGAGAGAGAGAGAGAGAGAGAGAGAAAGAGAAGGAGCCTGCGGGTTTTTACATGCGGAGTATTGTGTCAGCACGTGTTTGGAAATTCTATTAGAGAACGTGCAGCGGAAGCAACTATTTATTCCATCAACATGCTATAGTATAGCACGGCGTTAACACGTGATGTGTTAGTGTTGCAAAATCACAGAGAAAACAACAGACTATATATATATGCGCACGCACGCACACACACACACGCACGCACACACACGACCATAACAAACACGCACGCACGCACGCACGCACGCACGCACGCACACATCACAGAAGCTTAATTAATTTTTGTTAAATTTCAGTATTTTCGAGTAAAGTCAACAGGCTCCAATTTGCAGATTGCAACGACAGTTGATTCTAACAGCAGCTCATTATTTTTTACTACAATGGCACCGACAGTACTACTACTATTACGAAATCATTCTCTCTCTCTCTCTCTGGCTATTTTACTAAGCCTACACAGCCCGCTAGGGGCAATAGACTATAGTTTAGTGATGTTTGCCTCTGACTCCGCGTGGATCGTACAAGTTCAGCCAGTTACTGCTGCGATGTTTGGGTTTCCGTAACGTGTGTTTGTTTTTCTACGTTGGGTTCATGTTATTATAGCCTTATATTCAGAGCTTCACACTCAACCATTCCAACATCCAAGATGGTGGTCATGACGTAATCCATAGATATGTACAAACACATATATACATACATTATATAACATAAACGTTATATATGTATATATTATATTTAGACATATATATTGTATGTATATATATATATTACAACATATGGTGACATATAAGATTTGTGACACCTCCTGCTTTGAAGAATTTTCCATTAACCCATCTATAGTGTAACTATATATAATTATCTATCTATTAATTTCTATTTATCTATCTATCTATATAAAGATAGATATAGACAGATAGATAGATCGATAGTCTAGATATATAGTACGTTACTGTACGTATATTAAACTATATATATAGTGTATTCACGATGTAACTTACGTGTCGTTAGTTATAGCTTCTATGGGCTTTACATGAAACACTTCACGTTTCTCACAAGCGTCTCTGTGATTAAGGTCACACACACACACTGTGAGGTGGTGAATTAAGACTGTATATAAGTATCTCAGGGCCGTAGTTAACTCTTTCTGGCCCCCGGGGGGGGGGAGGGCAGGCGTGGTTCACGTACCGGATAGGTGACCCTGGGACAGTTCACAGTTATCGCTACCATGCAAGGACTGGTATGAGAAACTGTCCCTCTGCCTCCCCTCCACACAGATACACACCACTAGCCACGGCACTGCTTAGCCTGATATCATTCATAATAAATTTGCATAAATTGCATTTTTGCATAACCTGCATAATTTTGGTGAAATCTTACCAGTAGTGAGCCAAGTGTTGTTACATATATGAAAGTTTTTGATCTAAAAGACTCGCTTTAATTACTAGAAAGAGAAAAATCATAAAACCTGCAATAGATTATTACCACAGAAGTGTCACATGCTTGCTATCTATTGAATTAATAATAGGTAATAATATGTATATTTATATACATAATATAATAATTTATATATTTGATAATTCAGATCTGTTCTGAAACAGAATCACAGCTCCCTTGACTATTGTCACGTCTTTCCCTGACCTCCGCTACATGCCACGTTTACAATCACGCTTCTATGTCACGCTTCTATAACTTCGGAATAATATCCCTGGACCCACATTACTCTGACGGACATTTCGGTGTGTACACAACGCTGTACCGCATTTATATTTCAGAAGAGCGTGTAAGAAACGCTCGCTAGCGAGAGCATTGAGCCGTTCTTTTATGTTCTGTAAGCTATTGACTGCTTCGGGTTTATGTACTGTACCACGCACGGCTGGAAAGGCGAGTATAATAGATCAATCTACTGCACTGAAATATAAATGTGAATTACAACATTATAAAACAAGTAATAGCGCGTGGAAAACAGATTGACAATCTCATTTCGCGCGTAGTTACGACACGCATTATTACGTCGAACATTGTTGCGGATAAAACGCGGATTTGCAAGAAAGAAACGCTGCAATATGAAAGCGCACGGAAATGTATTTTTTCAACAAGTAGCATATTTATTATAAATACATATTTATTTTAATACAAATTTCAATATGTCCAAATAGCATTATTAAAGTCATTTGTACATGTATATTATGCTTTCGTTCGTCTCTCTGTCCGTCGGTCCGTCGGTCTGTCTGTCCGTCAGTCAGTCAGTCCGTCACATACTAGTCAACCATGTTGAATAAATACAGGTAGAACCGTTAAAAAAGCAGGAAACATCGATAAAGAACAACACTACAGAAATCCTCGCGCTAGCGAACGGGGAGGGCGTCTGCAGACGAGATACGCATGGCGCCATCTGTTGGCGCTTATAACCAACTCTCGGTGATAAAGCGGTGAGAGGCAGTGTTATTCATGACTGCTCATGTATGGAGATCACACATATTAATCTTATATAGCCATATAAAGACACTCATCTCTGCGCCCGACCGCGTAGGCACGCCCTCTGGTGCTCACAACCGGTACTAGAACAGCGGTGGAGGCGGGCGGTGCTATTACAACTTCCCGCTCACCCGTTCTCTCCTTTCTATTTCGTGAATAGGAGTTGAGAGCTCCTCTCTATCTCTCTCTCTCTCTCTCTCTCTCTCTCTCTCTCTCTCTCTCTCTCTC